AGGAAATGGAGGATTAACAATTAAAAAGCGTCTAAAAATGGTTCTCGCTTGAAATGTAGAATAGCAGCTAAGAGAAACTTTTTATGACATTTCAATAGCTAAATAGTAGAGAATGAAGTTTTTACAAATTTCATTATGGAACTCTATAAAACGTACAACTGTTTTCTACTAAAAAATAACAAATTAATTATATCATTTTGTTAATCATTAATTTTTAATTAAGAAATATTATCATGTTTATTTAAGTATTTGTAATACATGTAAACAATGTATTCACCATGACGATTTTCGACTATTTTGAGTGATGAAAATTGCTCCAAACGAAAAACAGCTGCTCGCTCAATGGGCATGTTTCCAAAGATGCAAAAGTCACTGTGACGCCTAGGACCTTTTTTAACCACAGAATTAGACACTTCGAGAACAAGTGTCGCCAACAGCTTACTTGAAATTCCCTAAATAAAATATTTTTTTTCGGCTTTTGGCCAGCGTTTGGAGATTGTGCCCCAACGTGCAGTGGCTCCACGCGACGATCGCAGAGAAGATGACTGATTCAATTTGGAGACAAGAACGGGAATAAATTGAAACGTCGCTTCGGGGAAAAGCCCGAGAATGAATTAAAACAAATGTCGGTCGAAATGAGCGTTATGCTCGTGAAACAACCCCTCGGCAGTGAGCGGAGGCACGTGACGAGAAGAGGCCCGCCTGGGGGGTGAGATGTGCATTAGCTGTGACGCGGCTCGGCACGAGGAGCAAGGAGTTTCGGCAACACTCTTCTCAACCTTATTCAGAATCGATATAAACGAGGGGTTTGCAATAACAAACTTTCTATATTTCACGTCAACGCAACGATGAAGTAAGTAATGCAAGACGTCGTTCTCCATTTATCACACAGCTCCTTTCTTCTGTAATAATAGAGTTTCTTGCAGGAGAAATGTAAATGGAGTACTTCGGTGAATTATAGAAAGCAATCTGTAGGAGTAGAAGGGGAGATCTGTTTTCATCTTTATGTTAATTTTATTCCTTTGGATATCGACGATCTTTCATTAGCATCTCTTCCGCTGCAGAGCCTCAGAAAGTGCCAGGAGAAATAATACACGACACGTATACAACATCTAACGCACTTTTCTCTCAAAGATGTTTGGGGTCCCTACACAGTTTTAGAAAACGTCATGTCCAAAAGAAATGCAAGAAACCGCGCACATTCTGGTACACTACAGAAGCTTCCCCACATCCCTGGCACTTGCCTCGTTTAATGAATACCGAGGATAGTCTTACTTATAACGTGACAGTGATATGCCACAGCAGTCGTATGAGCTGGAAAATAAGGACTAGGGCTCGGACTTTTAGGTGATAAAAACCAAAAATATTTAATTTTATGTGCTTAAAAAGTGAAAAATACGTGTTAAAACGACAAAATATGTATATATTTTCCATTCAAAATCTAACAACCAAGATCGAGAGAAGTCTTCAAGTAGAACGTAACTTTACCCTCTTTATCACTGCACACGTCTTCTGTGCAGTCTGAGGAAGTTTAGGAGCTACTCTTGCCATGAGTGAATATTATCGCTCTGCTGCCTAAATCGACAGAAGTGCTGGAAATGACTCTCAGCAATTCTCAAATCTCACTACACTCAACCGCGGAACTTCTACAGAAACGGTGATGTGTGACCAACATACCACTGCATTCCAAACTGGCACGTTCTTCCCCATATATCCAAAAACTCCTTAGTATTAAACTTGAAAATACTCAAAACATGAATTTATTCACATAAAAGTTAGCAAAATATGTAATAATATTTGTTTCAACGAAAATATTTATTTTTATGCAACTTAATCAAATCCGTTAGGTCATTTTTCTGACATGCACTCTAAAGTTCCAATGTTATTGCACATTCTCATTATACACATAGTAATGGTATCCATGTTTATTGACTCACGTTTACCCCAAAGAAAAATAATTGTTTAATTAGTAAAGGATCGCATAAGCTAATTTAAGACTTTTCAGCGCCAATGAACCATCAACAAAAGGAACTAAAGCATCAGAATTGCAACTTTCACTATTCCATATTTCATGAATAAATCATAGTTTGTATCACTTTCACAGTTGGCTACAATATTGCACAATCGTAGTATTCACATCTATCTAACAATTTGACAATTAATGTGATGTGAAACAAACCAATGGACAATATTTTGAGTGCAAAAATTATATTACTTCGAGATATTTCGTTGCTAAAAATCTGGAGATGTAAAAGTTTGACATCCAGATAAATTTATTTAAATAAAATATTCAAATCTGAGTTGAAACATAAATAACCATTTCCAGAAAGAGAAATGAGTCTACAAGAGGTAAAGTATTATCATAAAATAATGAAAATAATATCCAAGCTATGCAAGAAATTCACAAAATATTTAAAACGCAACTAATCGTAAAACATAATTAATCATTATTCTTGGCCTGTACGGTAATTAATGGTAAATAATGGAGGAGCGAATACTTGAAGAACAGTGTTGAAATGCTCACGCATCGCGTACGATAGAAGAGTGAATATTGCCCCTTCAGCTTCAAGACAAGATTGAAGAAGATATCAAGAGAATGTAGGTAGAGAATGTAAATGTGCACAAAAATGGAATGTCAGAGAGGTTGGTTGGTTGTTAGCGATCCAAGGCGCATGAACATCCCGTAAATGTAGTGCATGTTTTACCCTCGGAAGTGGCCATGATCTTCTCTCGCTATATGGCGAGAATTCTCCTCCAGGCTGCGAAGGAATTCAACCTAGCTGACAAGCCAATGCCGAAAATCTTGCCACTGTCGGGAGTGGCGACCTAGGACCTCCCAGCCAGAGGGGCTCCAGGGCCATCGGTTGATGCCTCGAGCCATCTCTC